CAAATCGATTTATTTGGATCAAGTAGGAGAAACGTCGTTATAACTTTAATCTATGGTTCGCAGTTAATTGAAATGCATATGCCCCTCAGTGATAAGGCAAGGTCTGAGGCACCACGGAGTAAGAGGGTGTAACAACCCCCTTACATATAATAAATAAATGTGTCAGATATGTAAAGGCTAAGCGGTTTTGGGTGTTTCTTAGAGTAATAGTTAGCAGGAAGATTTTATGGGTACAGTACGGCATGTGTGCAAGTCATGAGAGTTGATAATTTTTGATAAAAATGTCTGCTTGCCAAAGGTTTAAAGATTAATTAAAATAACTGTTAAACCGGCAGTTTTGTTTATTTTCATGTATATGTTAAAGATGGCAAGATAATGTTTTTAAACGAAATTCTGCTTCTACAATGTGGGGGGAAAGACATTTTGTTTACATACGTGCGTAAGTTAGCCGAATTGTAATTAAAGACCAAGAGCCTAAACAGGAGTGTAGGCCTAGGATAAATGGCTGCATAATTAATTTTTGTTTCTTACTAATTGTATTAAAATATAATTTAATTTAACATAATATATCTAACTGAACCATGTAACAAAATGTTGTAAATTGTTTATCTTTATAAACTAGCTCCAAAAGTGTTTTCTCTCTGGTTAAGCTATAACAAAAATAGCTAGTGATGTTTTCAACTAGGCTACTAGGCCCGTTTTGGTTGTTGGAAAAAAAGATTGATCGGTCAGATATTACTCCACCAACCAATAATAATTTCAAGATAAAATTATTGGAGTATCTTTGCGTTTCAATGAATTTAATATCCATGAAGAGGTATTCATTTTAATAAAGTGTACATTGAAATACGGTAATAAGTACAAAATAAAAAAAACTGTGTTAATTTTTAAAATCTATACTATTTTCTTAGTTTGAAATCTAGGAACTTAATAAATGTAATGAAGGAAAAATGTGCAACCATTGTCCTCGATTCCAGCTGATATGTTTTGCCCTTGGGGTGACATAACAACTTAAACCCCCCCCCCATCGCATGTACTTTATTGACAACTATTTATGATAAAGTAGGTCGAAAAGTATATTTTGTATTTTTTGTATAGACGAAAACTAAAAAGAGAACAATTGAGCTACTCAGGTGTAAGTGAACGGCCGTGTGTTTCGACCATCGAAGTTTCGATGGTTTCGACACCTACTGTCGGGGAAAAAAGTTTAGACACTCGAGTTTGGAGCTGTACAGAAAAGTAACCAAACTAACTTAGAATAACACGTAGTATATATAAATTTTCGTTGTTTTATTCTACGTATTCCTGTGAAAACAAAATTTGTTTAGCTCGTTAAGGAAGGTTTTATGACAATTGGAAGGTAAAAACTCCCTGTTTTTAGAGTATCAAAACCATCTTATGACTTTGAAAATTCGCACAATGTAAACTAAACGTTAGAACTTTATCAAACTTTAATACAATACTAGTGTACATGTTGCTCGAATTCGAGCAATTGCAAAGTATTACAGGAGTTATTTTAAAACGAATAACAGTCATATTTACCATTAATTTAAAAGAGTCAACTCAAAGATTACCGGTGTGTAGCTCAGACCATTTTTATCTTCGTTATTGATAAACCTAAAGCATTCCTGTCGGTTTTCTCCTTCTCAAAATGCCTCGCTGTACATGCAACACAGGTCATTGATAGAGGGCCAATATAGAACGAAAAGTCGTTTTGGGGTAGTGTTAGGGTGCATTTGTAACCTAATAGTTGAGATTGTCCAGGGTCAGGTGCTGACTGTGATGAGTTAAGCATATTACGCGCCACGGTTCTGTAGCTGCGGTCGTTATCACGATTACGCCTCCTGTCTATGTTTCGTTGTCGTCACGTCGGAGGCATTTAAAAGAAAAAAAAACAACCAATAAACAAATTATAGCTACACAAAACAACGATAAATGCACAAATTTAAGTTACAGTCATACTAACACGATCCTTCATAGCGACACAAAACAACGATAAATACACAACTTTAAGATACAACCATACTAACACGATCCGTCTTGGGGGTTATGTTTACATAAACTCAATTAGTAAATAAATGTATTCAATGCGTTTCATTGAATTGAAAAATAACAGCAATTAAATTATACAGCTGATCAAAATGTAAACAATTATGTTCTCCATAAGGATTACATGGGAACTTTCAAAGCCACTGGGGCAGAGCCCAAGGGACTTTTCAAAAATGTAAGGCCAGTTTGCAAATCTACGCGACACGCTCTTTCCAATGAGACGTCAATGGATAAAATATGTTAAGGAATGGCGGAGGAGTTCAACCGACAAAGTTTCATGCAGCGTATTAATTATATAGATAGACACATATATAATTAATTAATTTGTGTAGTTTCAAAATTTTTACTACTTGTATTAAAGTTTGATAAAGTTCTGGCGTTTAGTTTACATTGTGTCCTCCCATTAGCTAGGACCGCGGCCTCTGTATACAGGGTGTTTCCAAATCGCCTGGAAATATTTTATGGACTTGTTCCATGGGCTAAAACAATCATAAAATGCCATATAAGTATGGGTGTAAAATGGCTAGATATCTGTCTGTCAGCCTGTTTGTGATTTTTTTTAAATTATTTCATATCTTGGGCATTTTTCAAGATAGAAATTTCAAAATTGGTATAAATGTGTAGTTAGAATATCTCAAGCCTTTTCAATATGGTGGACATTTAAAATCTTTAATACCAACTGTCATGAAAACCGTAAATATAAAGAAAATTTTTTGTATGACCACAAAAATAGAGAATTTAAACTCTCCAACTTTTTAATCATAAAATAAATTTTCTTAATATTTACGGGTTTCATGAAATTTGGCATTACAGATTTTATATGGTCTGCCATATTGAAATGGCTTGAGATATTGAGCAATTTTTAAAGCTCATTTTACCCTCTAGCTAAACTATACTAATTTTGAAATTTCTATCCTGAAATATGACCAAGATATAAAATAACTTTAAATGATCACAAACAGGCTGACAGACAGAAATCTAGGCATTTTAGACCCATACTTATATGGCATTTTATGTTTAACTTAGCCCAAAGAACAAGTCCATAAAATATGTCCAGGCGATTTGGAAACACCCTGTATATACTGCCACGCCACCACAAGATTCCGAAAAGAACTTATGAAACCGTCACTTACATTACACCCTACGATAAATACATCTAAATATTACAGTGTATGTTTTTTATCCTCAACTCCAACCACAGAGACGCCTTTAAGATGGTATGTTTCCTGTCTGTAACTAAACCAAACTACCTACAGAGCAAGTTCATAAATCCAAGTAGATGTCTAATAATCTAAACAACTACTTGGATCCATTACTTGGAACCATGCGAATAAGTGGTTGTATAAACAAATACTGATTCACAGTTGGTTTTCAAAAACACTTTACAAAAAGTGAATTTATCCCTTTCAGATCATTTGGAAATATTAGACACGACCCGTGTAAGAATGAGACGTATTAGCACATTGTTAGTGGTAATATTTTTGTCTGTGATAAAGAATATTTTTCTTTCGTCTTCGTATTCGGTATTAGAAACGGGTTAAAGTTATTTTTCAGAGAATCACCTGTAACTCAGGGCAAGCAGGTGTGAGATTGTAACTTTTTTCTTACTGTTATCTAACGCACATGGCTACATTTTTTAAGTGAATCTCGTAGAAGACTACTCGAGGGCTTAAAGTTATTAACATTCGTTTATTCCTCATCTCGTTATGTTGGTTAAATTGGTGTTCCCTACAAAAATATAAAAATTTAGAATGTTAGCTTTATAATCAGTGACCATAAGAGGCTTGACAAGCATTGTACCATATGATTTACAATACTTAATCGTTGGGGCAAAATATCCAATTCCATGACCCTTTTCGCTTTTTTGCTACTTTTTGCGACTGCGGTGGCGTAGACCTTGTGAGATCCCTATGAACATTTCTTATCAAACTCGGTAAAAAGTAATTGGTTATGTGACGTTTTCAGATAAAATATGATCAATTACTTATCAATTATTGGTCAAGTTTGATAAAATTCTGTGTAATATATTCATCAAACTAAATCGGTAATTAATTAATAAACTCTGATCGACGTGATTTAGGCTACATGTAATTAATCAATGTAGGCATAATCTATATTTTTCATAATTTACAAACTTGATTTCTCTTTCAAATGTTTACAAAATTTCAAAACTGAACGCTGATTTGTTTATATAGGTACCAACAACTCTTGTTTACTAGTTAGCTGTACTAATTATGAAGCAAAACGAATTACTTAAATTATTTATTTTATAATTCGTCCAACAACAAATTTTTAATCTCATTAATCTAATCATTCATTTAGATGAATAATTAGTATTTAAATAATTAGTTATTTAAATTAAATCACTTTGGTGTTTGAAAAAATATCTTTAGATGATAAATAACTCTTCAGCAGCTGTTTGAAATTATCCAAGATGGCCGTTAGCCTCCAAGGACTCTTAAAGGTAATAGTGATCAATTGAAATTTTCCAATTCGATAAAAACGATCTAAAATCTAATTCTTTGTCGAATGTCTAACTATAATATTGTACTGTATATCTAACTGAATATCTAACTATATATTGTACTGACCAAGTTTCAAGTAAACTTAACCTAATTGTTAATTTTCAATAGAAGGAGGGAGCTATTATTTCCTATACACTGTTGTCCAGTGTTAAACAGTCAACATTGATCACCTAATTACCAATTAACTGTTTTTACACGTGTGTGTGTATTGTGTATTGTTGCGGGATGCGACAGTGGACAATGATGCGACGACGGTGCAACACAACACAATAGTCTCATATCTCATATCGAGCGCATGTTGGGAGAGTATCGACCGTCCCCACTACCACCCCCTGTCCCCGCCACCCCACCATCCCACCATCCCACTACCCTCAGATCTTACCTCACCACAACACGTCACAGCTCACACGTGGGATGGCTCTAGACTGGAGGCGCCGGCTGTTCGGAGAGCGGCTGGTGCGTCCTTCCACCGACCCCTCGGACCCCCTCGAGCTCGTCCCCGTGGACGTCCTAGCCCCAGACAAACCTCTGGAGGACAACCCCGTCGTCGGAGTGTTCTTCCGCGTCCTCTCCGACAGCTCCAAAGCCGAGGACTCCACCCGCAGGCTGGTAGATCTGTACTCCGCGGTCCGAGGGAGGTTGGAGGTCGTCCAGGTGTTCATGCCCCCCTGGGTGGGGTTCCGCCAGGACGAAGACAACGAGAGTGTAGCCCGTCTGTTCCGACAGTCCTACCACGGTGTGCCTTGGTACACCATGCCTATAGAGGACGAAGTTAAATGGGTAAGTTGTGTTTTTGGTAAATTCTAATAAAAACTGCTAACAAATACTATAATATCAACTTGGTTTCGTAATGAAACAAACAAGTATTGAAGACGCAAATCGAAACTTAGATATTGTTTACAGTTACCATGTAATCTGTCTATTATTATGTTTTTATTTGAATGGTCCTTATTCTTGTGTGACAGTCGATGACATATTTATTTTCTGTAAGAATTAGTATTAAAGTGGTTTATCTTTTTGAATATTTATTTGCCTTCATCAATCAACTATACGATCAAACCAGTTATTAATAGGCTAATCTCTACATGTTGGTCCTTCAACCCGGATAAACACATAGTTGTGATAACAAATTACTAGGAAACTTTAACCGGAAATAGACTGATTAACTAGAATTAGGTTTATACTCAATGCTAGAAGTCTTAACAGTCCTGGTGTACCAGTGAATCAGAACGTCATTCATTAAAACAATAAAATGTTTCTTTAAAATCAAATTTAATGTCACTAAATTCCGACGTGACCAACAATGAAAACATCAACACACAAGGTTTGACAGCTGTGGTTTAGGTTATGTTCACGGTTCATACAGTTCATTGTTTATTAACGACCCACCGGGGCTGAACTAATATCCGTAACATGCTTGTGGCCCTCGATTGAACAAAGCGTTTTGTGTTTTGGTGTGCATGTGGTGGAATGGCTAGCGCTTAGTTCTGCGCCATAATGTGTTTGATCGCAGACATTCATTATCATGCAGACCATTACGTTTCACACTCAGGAGCTTAATCTTGCGTTAAATGAATAATCCTGCCTCGACTCTTAAAACTGTAGCTGCTAAGTACGTATATTTGCATGCGCGACACGGTTCCCTAATTTTTGTTGACTCTTAAGTTATATTTTTAAAAATCTAAAATGATGAAACAATAACTACAATTTATTACTACGCCCGTTTTAATTGTGTATTCCAATTTTTGTATTGTAACAATGAGGTTCGCTCTCATCTATACAAAACTTTGCCTATGAACATCAGGTTTGTTTTATGTCAGCGATAAGAAAAACTGCGAGAAAAATAAAATAAAAACTATGTTAGTGGACATTTTATTAAACTCTCAATAGGTTTTAGCATTGACTATATATAGTCAATGGTTTTAGCCAAGTACTCTTATAAAGTTGAACATTTTTTTACCACGATAACTAAAATTTTAAGTTTTATTTGATTTATAACAAAAAACTGATTAAGTAGTTACTTAATATTGATGTTTGTCTTTTGTTCATTTATTTTACTTAAAAGGTTGACGCAAAAGAAACCTTTGTATGTAAATCATGTATTACATACTAAACACCTTTCACAAAGTTGCAATGGTACAACTAAATAATCTAATGCTACTCAAGTTTTACGAGCAATAAAGTTTGGTACTATCACATCGTTGTGAAGTCGCATATGAACAAAACCAAGTACAATATCAATTAAGCCAATGTAATTATTGTTGGACATGGGCGTATGTATATACATCCATTACTGTTCTAATACATGTTTGACTAAAAATTCAATAAAACTAGTATTCAATGTCTTTTGGTCTACAGGTTTTCTAAGAGAAATACTTTTGGTGTACCAGGCTACATATCATGAGGAGTACAGTATTTGTAAAACAAAAGCAGGAGTGTAGTATAAGAGCTTCGCTTCGCTCCGCTCAATAATAACAATACTATCTTAGGTTATCGTTATATCACTAGACACAATATTTACAATCACATGTGTTTTCATGAGGACGAAATCCAGTTGTGTCAATATTGCTAATTATGTACTCTAATGTTTGAAGGACTACAACGCCTGATGAACAATACACCCGCACCCTAGCAATTCCCTCCCTCTCCTGTCGCACCCCAGGCCATTCATTACTGTCATAGATAGCGGGGGAGGTGACTGTGACTAAACCGACGCCTGATGCCGAACCGAGCTGGAAAATAAGCGAAAGGTGTTAGAAAATATCAGAAACTTTCAGAAATGTGGTGGTTTTTCATGTGTTGGAGGAAAATGTGTTTGGAAAATGTTGTAGGCCCTACATTTAAGATATGAAACTACTTCAGTTTTACAAAGTTTTTTTGTGGTTGACTCTGTTTGCAGATATTTATTTTGAAAATTAAAGCTTTTAAAGAAGCCTTCTAAGTATTAAAGCTGTTAAAGGTACAACAAACATTCCTTCGAGGGTACACTATATAAAATGTCATAGACATTCAAGACTTTGAACAAATTGTATGTTAGCTTATTATAATTTCACTAAGTTATCTGAGATTGATTCAATTTCCAGATTTTTCAGCTCTTTAAAGTTATTAAAGCTGTGAATCTGTACAGCCTTCTAAATAATATTAGCTATTCAAAACTCTTCAAGGGTACAGAGAAATGTTATATAGATTCAATTCTTAGAAAAATTTTTTGTTAGCTATTTACATATTTGATTTAGTTTTCTGTGATTATTTTAATTTTCTAAATTGTCTATTGACTATGATTGCAATAGCTATTGCAACCTCCTGAGTATTATAGCTGTTTAAACACCTTCAAAGGTTCCGTAAATAAAAACATCATAAATTTATACCATAAAAAAATTTAACTGCTATTTTTAATTTGATTACGTTATCCATGATGCCATAGATTTTCGGATATCTCTTTTGAAAACTATTGCAGCCTGAGTGGCATGGCTAATTTTCCCTTCAAAGAGTACATGGAAGATGTATACATTGAAGCCGCCCTGTTGTTAGTTTAATATAATCTATTTATCATTTGATTACGTTCTCTGGGTTTGATTCGATTGTCGAAACATGTCTCTTAAACATTATTCCAGCTGGCAGTGCTGCTCTCTACATATAAACTATACTCATTTTATACGCAAGCAGATTTTTGGTGACAATTACTCCTCCGAAACTACTAAACCGATTGTCATGTTTTTGGTGTCATTGGAAAGAGTGTAACGTTAAGTTGTGCAGGAAACTTTCTTTTTAGGGAAATAATGAGATAGTGAGGCCCTGGCCTGGAACCCTTTAAAGTTTCGAAATTCTCCATAAGATTAACATTGGAAACAAAAATTGTTATGAAACTCCAGCTGTTGTCAGAAATCAAAAGTGAGAAGAAGAGCATATGAGTAGATATAATATAGCAATATGACCCCACTTTCGGCGTTTTAGAGGCACTTTTAGGGCACTTTTTATAGGGGAAAAATGAGGAAAAAATGGAAGAGCTTTTTTTGGCCACTTTTTTTAAAGACCCAGCTCTCGACCTATACACCCCTATATAAATTTTCTACTTTTTTAATACTAAAAATTACGTCTGGAAATGGTGAGCTTTTTTTGGCCACTTTTTTAAAGACCAGCTATATTTAGATCTCGTCCAATACAAGCCCATACAAATGTTCAAACTCCATTAAAATTTCAAATCCACATCCATTCCCATGTATATTTTCAAAATCATGTTAGGTTTGTGCGCGAACTCGGGCACGCTTAAGGCTATGCGTAAACTATGCCCGACTCAAATGAATGACTGTGAGTGTAACCTAATGACCCCAATCAAAACCAATTGTCAACATTCTCTGCCTGTCTGGCGCCAGTCTGTCTGGGGCAGGTTTAGACAATTACCAAATATGTTTGATTGATTGACCTCAATTATTCAATTGTTCAATTTCAGTTTGTTCAATTTCCATTGTTCTAAATTAATTTAGACAATTTTGTGGTATATAAGGGGGGGCATTCTACGGAATCATCACTCACTCTTCCACCTGGATCTTCTTGCTATGGTAAGTCTTTGACATCTAAGCTAGACTATTGTAATATGTTGTCGCGTGTCGGGTCATGGGATCAATTGGTGACGTAATTGATGTTTGTACTCATACTCTGTATTTCTTTTAACTTAGAAGTGTAGCTAATTTCCCGAGTCCATTTTTAAAAAACTTAGCCGAATTGAGTCACTAAGGAACTTGTAAAAAATGTATATAAGTATATTTTTAAACACTTAGAGTATTTTGAACAGTCACCAAGGAACTTAAAATGTATATAAATCTATTTTTAAACACTTAGAGTATTTTGAACAGTCACTAAGGAACTTAAAATGTATATAAGTCTATTTTAAAAAACTTAGCCAAATTCACTCATGAGGGGGACTTTGAGTCAAAAGTTTGCACAAGTTATTATTTAAAAACTTAGCCGAATTATACTCACGGGGGGAACTTTGAGTCAAACGTTTGCACAAGTTATTATTTAAAAACTTAGCCAAACTTCACGCACCAGGGGACTTTGAATCAAAATGTGTACAAGTTATTATTTAAAAACTTAGCCGAATTATACTCACGGGGGAACTTTGAGTCAAACGTTTGCACAAGTTATTATTTAAAAACTTAGCCAAACTTCACGCACCAGGGGACTTTGAGTCAAAATGTGCACAAGTTATTATTTAAAAACTTAGCCGAATTATACTCACTATATAATTTTGTCGAGTTCCTTTTAACATAGGTAACATAGTCTTCTCTATAACTAACACTCACTCTGTATATATGTAGACTCAGCAATCTGAATTGCTAAAAAGTATTTTTATTTAAGATTTTGGATTTAGTTTTGATTTAGAAAATTACAATTGCCAAATCTTATTGTATGAAATTGTTTTGAATATTAAAATTTAAAATTCTGATTTAAATTATTATTTCCCATTAATTGAAATTCTTTAAAATGTAATTTCCACCATATAGAAGATGCTAACTTTGTTTTTTAGTTACATGTCAACTGTGTGCTGCTTCTCTATCCAAAAAAAGTAACTTATTTTGTTATTACTATTTTTAAGTGAGTCAAAAATATATACAAGTTATTTTTTAAAAACTTAGCTGGATTCAACCCACCGGGGGACTTCAAATCAAAAGTGTGTACACGTTATTTTGTAAAAACTTAGCCAAATTCACTCACGGGGGGACTTTGAGTCAATAGTGTGCACAAGTTATTATTTTAAAACTTAGCCGAATTCACTCACG